AAACCTTTAGATTTAGACATTATAAATCTTATTAAAACAAACACTTATTTTGCTCAGAGAATCCAAAAATGCAATAATATATAGGGTATTTCATTTATAAAAACACAACTTTGATACTTTTAGGGCTTTTGGGACACTCTGTACATTACAAAAATATTTTTAAAATGTGCGCCCGATAGGCGTCTGTGGATTCATCAAATAATACTTTGCAAAAAACAAACGGGCTAGCCGCAAACGCCCGTGCCGTATAGCGTGAATAACCCTGTAGAGTGGTGTTTGATCCGATCAATCAGATTTCATGATGAAGGCATTACTGTCTCATTAGATAAGTATAATTTAAAAAGAATCTCAAGTGAAGCAAGAAAATGTCTGCTTTTTTACTATTTTTTGGTAAACTGAATTGATTTTCGTGTACAGGGTGATTCAAAATTGGCGTCATTCTTCTGGAGGTGTTGTCTGGCGGTGTTTTAGGAGTCCAGAAAAATTTGTAAAAAAATTAATTGTTATTAAAAACTAAGAAATTTGCACAAAACTATATTAGAAAAACGGCAACAATGTTTTTCAAGGTAATCTGCCTAATTTTACGTAAATACTCCGGTAACCATGGATAAATAGAGAGTGACAATAAGATAGACAAGGATAAACGGTAAATTAAACAGGAATCGTTGATTGACGGAACCTATTTCGAAAGTCATAATCTTGAATTATTAATTTGTTTACAAATTACAAAAACATACATTTGAGCCTGATTATGCACTCTTCTCGAGCATCTTCTCGTATTCGGTTAATTAACTCCTGCTCAATTTATACCGGTGTTCAGTAATCCATTGGTTTAATGTGTATCTGGCATACGTGGTAGGAATGCTCCAAGTATTCCAATATGCTTCCAATTAAACATTGAACACTTTCAAAATAATGCTTGATAACAAAGTTGAAATTCGATTTTCAACTGTTATTATCTTATAGAAATTATCGAAAAAGTGAGCCCCTATTACCCCTTAAAAGCAATGACGCCAATTTCGAATCACTCTGTATAAAATTAAATTGAAATGATCGGTTTTTTTTTAAATTGAGATGGTTAGTACGGTCTTAAGAACGTTGACGTTACCTTCCGAGCTTGGGATCCTCCTCGTCCTTTGTCTTCCTTCTCGCTCGCTCGCAACAAAGAGCGATAAGTCCGGTTTTGTTCACCAAGTAGCAAGTCATATCAACCACTATCAAGATGATTATGATCGCTGCTACGACGATTCCAATGATCAATGAACTGCTCATAGTGGGGCTCCCAACCGGCACTGGTCCAATACCTGTAATTGTTCGGAAATCGTGAATTAGTGCGGGAATTTTCCAAAAGTTTTACACAGTCAAGTTTGGTCTGTTTTTAGCTAAAAAGTGGCACTGCAGCTGGCACTATCCGATTGCTCAGGCACATCCTTTGAATAACTTTTCGGTCTTCCATCAGGAACACATTTCTATGTTACAACTGAACATTCAAAGAAGTTAGCCTTACCAATAATATTCACAAAGTTCACCATAAATCAGATTTATTTAACTCAGAGGTGAAAACAAAGGATCAGAAAAAATGAAACGCGTAGTACCAGCTACATCACCACAAACAACTAGCGACACATTAGTAAGAATGAAATAAAATGATGGTATGCAGGCTAGTAGGTTGTTGATATCGTTGGCTGCATGGAAGTTACGCTAGGTTTACCATCGCAATAGCGATGTTTTACAGTAATTAGTAGCAAAGTGCTTGAATTGATAGCCAAGAAACTTGTTTTCGTGTAGCAATTAAAAGCACGGCGATGAATATAAGGAATATTTAGCATTCAACCGACTATGACTCACAAAAAATGAACTTACATTCATTAAACGGTTGCTGCATGTGGCAGACCATAGAATTGTACTAAACATTTATTAAGAGCGGGTAATTTTCACGGATATCCGGCTGGGGGCTGCGCGGTTAATAATGCGATTCACTGATTGAAAATTCTTGAACCAACAACTTTTCCTAGTGGGGTTTTTTGTGAAATTAAGGTTTTCGTTCACTTTTCACTAATTGAAATTTGCTAGTTTTCCACAAGAGAACCCAGGGCGAAATAATGTCACCGCTGTCTGTCAAACCGTTGTCACGCTGACGCAGACCGGAAAATTTTGCGCATTTTGTGGCTTCTTGGATTAGTTTCAGCTAGTTTTGATTAGTGTTCGTTACCTGCTAATTGATTTTTGCCCGTCCAGTAAAAGTGGTGAGAAACCCAATTTTCGCAAAAACTGGTCTTTAAAAATGCACAGTTTCTTGAAACTTTAAAACTTGGTAACCAAGACTTGAACTTTCCTTCATTGAATCAGAGATTATTTGAAAGTTTGTTAAAGAAATGCTAAAATACATCAGTGATAATAATTCGTGCGGACAAAGCAAAGGTTTGATTTTACCTCCATCGGATGCTTTGTTGCGTACGTTTCGTTAAATCATCATCAGACCAAGTGCGCCCACCAACAGATAATTAATTGAAAGATAATAAAAATTGTGGCCCAAAATAAATATTACTTAGTGAAAAGTTTTATCTCAGATTCTATGGTGAGTAAAAAAAGTGAATTTATAACAATTGACTTCTAAAATCTCTCTCACCTTTAATGCTTATGAAGATGTATTTTATATTCGGAATATTTATCAAACGTACGCAAAATTGCATTCGATGTGAAATTTCGAGCAATTTTAAATCCAAGACACAAAACAAAACAAGAATAAAAATTTTCAAGTACATATATACAGGGTGTCCCACCGGGAACCGCCGCGATCGATGTCTGGAAAACTGCAATTAGCAGAAATTTGAAAATTGGGCAGTGTGCCGACGTCATTGGGGGCAAGCGGTCTAAAATATTCACACTTCCGGCTATACCGGAAGTGCGTATCAACTTGCTTATTTTAAATCGAACACCCTATATATTATTACATTTTTGAATTCTACTCCAAATTCTAAATGTGTTAGGTATGTATTTTCATAATATTTAGGTATAGGCTAAGTCTAACCGTTTTTGAGATATTTGAAATTTTATGTAAAAAACGACAATTGCAGCCACTCGAATAATTATTCATTTTTCCTATAAGGGAATTTGTCATACGTAATTTAAGTCGCACTTATTGTTGAAAAGGACTTACTTTAATGGAATTTCGAAAAAATTTTAAAAACTATTAATACGACGTGTTAAATAAATAAGTTTCAAAATACAGTAGAGAAAATCGCCCAATATCAACTTTTTCAAATGAAAACCCCATTTTTGATAATTTTGTCATATTCAGTATTAAAAATAAGTGTAAGTTTGTGTAACGATGTCTATGCCAAAAGTGTTTAGTTTTCGAAATATTGCCAATTTCATGTTTTCATATGGCTGTTTTGCAGTATCTTCTTTTAAATTCTGTCACTCTTAGTTGCCATCACGAAAGTGGCCATTTTTAATACAATCAAATGCCGAAGGAATGCTGACAGCTGTCAGTTACCTTTTGAAAATAATTAATAATCATGCCCGGGCGCTTTAATTACACAAACGAAGAATATTTAAACTTATTTATTATTTATGGAGAATGTGATAAAGTTATATCAAGAACGGTTTATGTATCATTAATTATTATTATTTCAATCACTGGTATTAAGACGAATTCAAAATTCTTGAAATTTTCTATAATTTGTTTAACAGTACAGCATGCAGGCTTCTGTTTTTATGGATCTCGAATGGAAAATGTGTCACATGTTCTTCATACATCTTCATCAAATTCTTCATAAATAATAAATAAGTTTAAATAATCTTCGTTTGTATAATTGAAGTGCCCTGGCATGATTATTAATTATTTTCAAAAGGTAACTGACAGCTGTCAGCATTGCTTTGGCATTTGATAGCATTAAAAATGGCCACTTTCGTCATGGCAACTAAGAGTGACAGGATTTAAAAGAAAATGCTGCAAAATAGCCTTATGAAAGCATGAAATTGGCAATATTTCGAAAACGTAAACCCTTTTGAAATCACACATAGTTACACAAACTTACACTTATTTTAAATACTGAATATGACAAAATTATCAAAAATGGTGGTTTTCACTTGAAAAAATTGATTTTGGCCGGTTTTCTCAACTGCATTTTGAAACTTTTTTTTTGAACTTTTTAACTTCCTTTTCCTTTTCAACAATAAAAGCGGCTCAAATTAAATATGACAAATTTCCTTATAGGAAAAATGAATAATTATTCGAGTGGCTGCAACTGTCATTTTCTACATAAAATTCCAAATATATCAAAAACGGTTAGACTTGGCTATTGTATATGAAAAATATTTAGAATTTGTAGTAGAATTTAAAATAAATTAATATATAGGCTGTTCGATTTAAAATAAGCTAGTTGATACCTACTTCCGGTATAACCGGAAGTGTGGCCATTTTGAAAATGACGTCGACCGCTTGGCCCCAATGACCTCGGCACACTGTCTAATTTTCAAATTTCTCCTAATTACACACCCTGTATTTTATACAGGGTAGGACACCCTGTATAAAAAGTCTACTAACACGGATCATTTTTCTAAATTGACATTAATTTTCTGAAGTGTCGCCATATTTGATTTCCTGACGTTCAGTTGTCAAACTGACAAACTGCCGCGAGTTCAACTACCGATGTCGGCGTTGCGCAACGTCAAATTACTCAACGTCAAGCTCAACTGTCACTCAACACAACGAGTAATTTGACGTTTTGTTATCTTTAATTTATCGGTTTCCAGAAAACAGATAAAAACTTCTGAAAAACGTTAAAAATTAGTTAATATTAAAGTGACAGTGATTTAGAAGTGGAATTGGATGGAAAGGAATTTAACTTGAGCTTACAGAGGGGAGCAAAAACATAATGAAAATCTTAAACATATCATTTACCTAGGCACTTTTTTGATTATTTTATTTTTGTCCTTTGTCTCACTAGGGAAATGGAGTAAATAATGGCGACTTCACAGGTTGGTAGTAAAAAACCGTTAATTTTAAGTTAATTCCGAAGTACTAAGTGCGTAAAAAAGCATTCCACAAAATCACTATTTATTCTCAACTGAAAACAAGTTCCTTTGCCACATTGGGGCATTTGCACCTGTGGAACTCCCATGCAACGACCTAAATTCAAAGAGAGGAACTGAAACTTTCCAGCAAAGATGAGTGAAGTTGCGAGAGTTAAGCGTAATTGGATGGTTGTGTTTAATTGGTAAAGAGCTTCGGAAAGTATGTTGTGTTTTCCATTTGGCAGGAGTAGAGACGGTTCGGCTGGTTGAGTTTGAGTACCTATCTTATAATAAACACAACATGTTTCAACAAAATGCTAATTTCGGTAATTGAGTTGCTGGAAGCACTCTAAAGTTGCCAGGTTTTAATGCGAAAATTGCCCAGATTGCAGATTGTTTAGATAGTTTCTAGCTTTTCATGAAAATCACTTATGACACCGTTTTCAAAGCGATCTATCATGATAAAACGCTGTGGAATGGCTTTCTGGCACACCACAAGCGGCCACTAAAGCCACCAATTCATTAAACGTACAAGTCGTCTAATAAATCATCCTGGCCATTCAGTTTAGAGCGAAATTGAGCAATATTTTTCAAAGCGTCTAATGGATTACTCTTCAAAATGAGTATATAAATATGTCGTGTCAAAGTTGTCTTAGCATCATTTATTTGCAGAGCCAGAAATTGCTTTTTAACTGGCAGAAATATGGGTCAGTTGCGGATTGGCGCACTCGCGGGAAATTCCGACTTTATTAAAATATTAATCAACTTTAAATTGTGAGCACTGCTCTAACTGGTCGGATACGGCCTGATGTTGAAATCCATTAATCCATTGTCCTTTTCTCACTTTTTCAACCGGAGGCATAAAAAGACCAAGACCGGTTTGCTTGATATCAACTTTTGCTCATGCATTGTTTCAAAAACCAATAATAACTCGCCAGTAATTTATCAACTTCGATGGCCAATTTATCAGTCTGGAACGTAAATTCAGCGTGTTAAAGCCGCGTTTCCGCTTAGAGAAAAATGGCAAAATATATGAACTGCGCTAAAAACATGGGAATTTGCACGTAAATTCGACATACAACAAATAGAAATAAATGGCCCCAGTTGACGCCAACCAAAAGGGGGGGCTGCTCCATTTCCCCATCGCACGAGCGTGGGAGTAATAAATCCATGATAAGCAATCCATCATTTTAATGTTTGCGCGATTTTCATGCTAAACTTCTGCTGTGATCCATCGTTCACTTTCGCCATTTTAAATTCATCTTATTGTTAATTTGCTTTT